AGGAGCCAGCGGAAAGGAAGTGACGGCGTGGCCGACCCGACGTCCCTGAGCTGAGCCACAGCCGAGCCCCAGGTGGACGAATTGGTCTACAATCAGTAGACGCACCCAAGGCTGTTCTAGACTCTCCCTCCCCACCCCCTTCTGCTAGGAAAGGTGTCCCGCGGGGGCCAACATCCCGGTGTGGTGGGTGAGCACGGCTCCCGCCAGCTCCCTGCAGGTGCACCTGGGGACAGCAGAGGACGGCCCTGCACCCACGTGGGAGGTGCAGGGGGGGAGGGGAACAACTGGTTCCTGCCTTGGCCCCGCCCCCCCCCCAAGCCGTTGTGGGGCCCTGTGGGGAATGAATCAGTAGATGGAAGACCTCTTCTCTCTCTCTCCTTTCTGTAACTGCATTTCAAATAAAAAATAAATGCTAACAAGTAATTTTAACTCCATGTATACAAGGGGCCTTCAAAAATGCATGAAAGATCATATGGTTTAAAAAAAAAACTGCATGAGTTTCAAACATTTGCAGCAAAATAAACTTTATTTTAATTATCCATTTAAGGGGCCGGCACTGGTGGCTTAGCAGTAAGCCTCGCCTGCGGTGCCCGCATCCCACATGGGCGCCGGTTCGAGACCCGGCTGCTCCACTTCCGATCCAGCTCTCTGCTGTGGCCTGGGAAAGCAGTGGACGATGGCCCAAGTGTTGGGCCCCTGCACCCGTGGGAGACCCCAAGGAAGCTCCTGGCTTCCGATCGGCACAGCTCCGGCCATTGCGGCCATCTGGGGAGTGACCCAGCGGATGGAAGACCTCCCTCTCTCCCTCTCTCAAGTAAATAAAAATCTTAAAAACAACAACTTATTTACAAACACAGGCAGCCAAGAGTCGGCCCTAGGCCGGTCTGCCGACCTTTAACCTCGTTAAAAAAGAAAAAAAAAAATGAAACCAAAGAAAAAATGTGAATTTCCCGTAGTTTCTGGCATAAAAGTCTTAGAAAATGTGAAATGCATGAAGAATTAACTATGTACAATGCATTAAGAATAACTATGTACAAAACAAGCGCAAACTTCCAGCACGTGGGCCAGGGCGTGCTGACCCCTGACCCGCCCGCGCCGGCGGAGCGCACGCAGACCCCCGAGTGCGGGAGCCCCGCACCGCCCGCCGCCCGGCCCGGCCCGGCCCGGCCCGCGCGCAACGCCCGCCGCCAACGCTCGCAGCCGCGCGCGCCCAGGCCAGGCCCCGCCCCGCGCCGCGGTGATTGGCCGGGCCGCGCCCTTCGCGGCTGGGGAACGCCCCCCTGCGACGGACACCCCGGCAGCCAATGCGCCGCCGCAGCGCCTGGCGGCCCGCCCTCCCGCCCCCGCCGGGGCCGGCGCGGGGCGGGCGGTTGGAGCCTGGTAACGGTTGCCGCTACAACGCCCGCCCCCGGCGCGGCCGGCGGGAGGGCTGCTCGAGGCCGGCGGGCGGGCGGCGGGAGCCTGAGGAGGAGCGGCCGCCGCCGCCGCCACCGCCGCCGCCATAGAGACTGTAGCCGTGGAGACTGTTACTTACCAACGGGGACCAACACGCAGCAGCCGCCGCCGCCGCCGCCGCGGGAGCCGCTGCCCGAACTCCCGGCCCGAACTCCAGGTGACCGACGCGACCGGCCCGGGAGTGCAGGGGGCGGCGGGGACCCCCGCTCGAGGGGCCGGGGGGCGGCGAGCGCACCTCCCCCCCACCCCCCGGCCGGCCGCCGCCCACGGCACCCCGGGCCCCCCCACCCCGCGCCGCCGAGTTTGGGGGACCCCGCACCCGCACTCAGCGGGAGCCGTCGCCTCTTCCCAAAACTTAGGAGGCGGGAGGGGGCCCGTCTCCCGCTTTTAACCTTCCGACTCGCCGCGATGGGGGGGCCCTCCAGGACCCCCGCGAAACTCTTCCTCCTCCCCGAGTTGGGGGCCCCCTCCCTGGTCGCGTTCATTGCCCGGGTCCCTGCCCGAGTTGGGGGCGCCCGGGTGCCCCCCCCCCGTCTCGCTCCGACCCTCAGCCTCCCTCGCCCCGAATCCTCGGCTCGGCGCACCCCGGCTCCTCTCCGCCTCCGCCTCCCCGCGCTGGGGGAGACGCCCTCTTCCTCCCACCCCCAGGTTCCGGGTCCCCCTCTCCCGTTGGGGGCGCCCCCGGGACGCCCTTGCTGCTCTGTCCACAAAGTGGCCCCCCAGGGGCCGCGCCTCACCTTTCCAGCCCATTCCCGCGCGCGGGGGGCTCCTCGACCCCCGCCCCCGCCACGGTCCTGGACTTGGGGGGCCCCCGGTGCGCCCTCCCCTCGAAGCTCCCTGGGCGCGCCCGCAGCTCCCCTATTTGGACAGATCTGGAAGCGAGAAAGTTTCACCAAAGCGTTGTTTGTGGGTTTAAAAAAAAAAAAGAAAGAACTAATTCTTGTTAAAGAGCCCGCACGCGCGGCGCGGCGGCCCCGTGGGCGCTCCGGGCGGGCCCGGGGCGCGTCCCTCCCGGGGCGCAGCCGCCAGCTCGGGCTCCGGGCCGCGGGGCGGGCGGGGTCCCCGGGGCCCCACCTGCCGGGCCGCGGGCGGGCGGGGTCCCGGGGCCCCACCTGCCGGGCCGCGGCGGGGGCAGGGGTGGGCCCGGCCGGGTCGCTGGGGACCCGCAGCGCGCAGCCCGGTGCGGACTCACCGGACTCCGTGCCCCCCCCCCCATGTGTGTGCCAGTCCCACGTCCGGTAAAGTTTTTTAAAAGTGAAGCTGACATGAGATATTCCCCAAGACCCATAGTAGTGCTAATAATACTACCCCGTAAGTCTGTACAAAAGTCGAAATAAAGATACTTCCTAGTCCATAATAATAATTAGTCATAATTTCCGAGAGCAACAACAGTCAAAACAGCCCTGAGTAGGTACAAGGAGGACGGGTCATTACAGAAGTTTCTAGAAGGAGCGGATCAGAGGCATCTCCAAACGGGACGGTCATGATGACGACACGAAGCGTGGACAGCCGCCGCCCCCTCCTGTCGCTGCCTGTGTCCTCCCGGCCGCGGGAGGGGTACCCTGGGCTTGCCCAAGCTTAGCAATGGCTCTGGGCAGCTCGGGGTGAGGACTGTGGTGCGGCCTCCCTCGGGAAAGGCCTTTGACCTCCGTGGTCTCCCCAGGGCTCCCTCATCCACAGCTTGGGGAGGTGGGGCGGGAGCCATGCCTGGCCCTTGGCCGGGTGATCCCCGAGGGGTTCAGGAGAGGTTGTCCCCTGCCAATCATCTAACCCCGCAGGTGCGCCCGGGGGAGGGGGGGGCAGCCCACTGAGTCCCAGGAGAGCGCCCCCTCCGCAGCCGCCTGTGCTTGGCTTTCTGGGCGGTCGGCTGTGTCACCCCCGGCGCTTTAACAGTGTCGAATCTGCCGCAGCCAGGTCCCCGTCCTCTTACCTCCTGTTAGAGCTGGAATTTGCTCATAGTACTGCCGACTTAATTAATTAGTCCCGGAGGAACTAGGAATCACAGTCCGTGGGGGTCCGTGGGGGTCTTCTCGCTGCTTGTTTACCCTACTGGCCCTGTTCCCGACAGACCCCCGCCTCTCCCAGCCTAAGAGGGGGAGGTCCAGGTCCACGCCGGCATTTCTGCAACCCCGGGTGAAGATGCCCGCGTTGGGGGCGGGGCTTCGGGACCAGAAGTATCCTGGCAGCTTAGGACAGGTGTCGGCCGCCAGACACGGCCCTGCGGTCCCCGGATTCCGTGCTGTCCTAAGGGATTGTGGACTTGTGCATTTTTTTTTTAAGCGGCTGCATTCTCTCTCTGGAGTTTAGATGGTGCTTAGCTCTTCCCTAGGCCGTGTTCACTTACTTGGACGTGTGCCTGGCACAGCCGTGGGGGGGGGCAGAGCTCACTGACTGCCCCACACCTGCTCCTGGTCAGCTCGCTGCTCCCCGCTGCTCTCTCCCAGGCTGTCGGCAAACCCTGCCCACCCCGCCTTTGGTGGTCACTTAGATTCTGACCATGCTGGCACCATCCCCCTGCAGGTCCTGCCGTGTTAGTTCTGAGCTTTGGTGGCTCCCGCGGCAGCCCTGGCCCTCCCGGTCCAGTGCCCCTGGGATCAGGATCCCGTCCGCCTCAACTCCCCGCAGTCTGCAGCCCTGCCGCAGACAGCGCTAGGCCTGGCCTGGAGGGCCCGGCGAAACCTGGCTGGCCTGTAGCTCATGCCTGTGCTGTTATCACAGGTCAGCGCAGAGGCCCTCGATACAGCTTTGTTAAATGAATATATAACTGAGCTCGGATTGGGCGCACCTGGAGGGGGCGGGGAGAGGAAAAGATGAATTGTGGGTGGCAGTGCCGGCCCTGGGCACGGCGAGCAGGGTTGACATCGTGGTGTCACTGCGTGCGCGCTCGAGGCCTGGCATCCATGAGTTTGGTAATTACAGCTTGGACATTTAGCACCCAGCCAGTGGTACTCCACCACGAGCACCCTTGCCGTTATTAGAATGAGCCAGACACGCAGTAAGTGGCCTGGGATTGGCGCTCTTTTGTGCTGTTTGCTGACTGGTTCCAGTAGTGGGGGGGGGGGGGGTCACGGGCGGGGGTGCACTTGGCCTCGCAGGTAAGATCTGACTTGACACCTGGCTCCGGCTCCTGACTCAGCTTCCTCTGACGCAGGCCCTGGGGGGCAGCACTCATGGCACAGGGAGCTGGGCTCCTGCCACCCGCATGGGAGACCTGGGCGACTCCTGGCTTTGACTCAGCTCGGCTCTGGCTGTGGGGGGCACTTGGAGAATGATGGAAGCTTCCTCTCTCTGTCTCTCGAATGGGGAAAAAACCACCATAATGGAAAATGCATATGATGAGAAAATTGTGCATGGATTTAAAACATTTTTTGCGTGTGAAAAGAAACTTTAATTCCATTTTTTATGGACTTTCTGAACACTTAAAAAATATTTATTTATTTGAAAGGCAGAGGAACGAAGAGAGAGATTGAGGTCCTCGACCCACCTGTTTATTCTCCCAAATGCCTGCGACAGCCAGGGCTCGGCAGGTCGAAGCCAGGAGCCTGGCACTTGGCGCAGGTCTCCCGGGTGGGCGGGCCATCACCTGCCACCTACGCACATTGGCAGGAAGCTGGACTCGAGCCAGGCTCTCTGATACGGGCTGTGGCCGTCCCGAGCGGCCACTTAACACGGCCACAGCACCTGCCTCACCGTGGACTTTGTGAGGTCCCCTCGTGGGTTTTGTCTGATTGAGCGCTTTCGGGTAGGAGATGCCGGGAATTCATCTAAAGTCCCCTGGTGCGACAGCCCCTCTGCCGAGTGTGAGTGCCCAGCCAGGAAGAACCTACAGCAGCTACCCGAGCTCCGGCCGCCGGCTCGCGGAGTGGGCCCCTCTGCCGTGCCTCGGCTGGCAGCGCCCCGGCGGGTGCCAGCTCTGCGGGCGGCACTTGCAGGCGAGAGCCTCTGGAAACTGGTTTCCCTTCTCTGTTATCTCTGGCTCTCAGATGCCAGCCCGGTCGATGGCTGGAAAGAGGCCATCTGGAGCCGGGCCGGGCCGGGCGTGCGTGCCGGGGCTCCGCAGGCCCCGGCGCAGACGGCCCGGCTTGTCGCACCTTGCTCGCCTCTCCTGAAGCTGCATTCCTGTTCTGTGATGCCCGCGTCCTGCGTGTCTAAAACCCGGCTGAGGGCCTGGCAGTCGCTCCTTCCTATTTTAGCATGTTTGGGAATATTCTGGCTTCCAGAAAATGCCGCTGACTTGCCGCTGCCTGCCGACGAGGCGGTAAGCGAGTGGCTTTCAGAGGCTGTGACCCGTCTACACCTGCTGCGGTTCATGTTTTAAAATGGGGGAGAAATTGGAAAGCCCTGGAGAGTGTGTAGACGTGAGGGAAATGGCCTATCGAGCGGTGATCTATGGCTTGGTGGAGCCCAGGCGTGCGCCACCTCCTGAGGTCTCCCGGTCGTCTCGTGCCTGTGTGTGGAGGCGTGTGAGAACGGGGAGTAATTCATGTCGAGAGACTTTGCACGTGTGAACTCGAGTGGTGGGCCACGGTGTTTTTGGAAGCCCCTTAGAGTCAGCTCTGTGCAGTTTGGAGGGAAGGACCTTAAGTGTGTGTTTGGGGGGGATGCAGGTGCAAAGGCCCTGTGGCAGTTGGGGGGATCAGCTGGGCCTGGTCAAGGCAGGGAAAGGGGGCCAGGTTCTGAAGCCTGGTGTGCGGAGGGAGGAGGGGCCGAGGTGTGGAGGAAGATCCAGAGAGTGCCGGCCCCCGGCCGTGTGACCGCTGTCCCTTCTGGCCAGCGGAAGGTGCCAGGTCTCTGTGAGGCAACACCCGGGGGTGGCGAGGAGGACAGAGCTGCCTGGGGCTCGAGGCTTCGCGGGTGCTGGGCGTCCCGGGGGTGTCTGTCCTGAGGGGCTGCGTGGTAGGTCACACTTCAGCGAGTTAGGGGCCCCGGAAGAGGCCGGCTGGGCTGTTAGGGGAGCGCTGCGCCCGGCCACGTGCCTGGCACGCCTGAGACGCTGAGGGACGTGGAGGGGACGGTGCGCCAGCGAGCGGCTGGGTGTCGGGGTCGGGAGCCTGGGCCCGCCGGGGCGAGAGGTCACGACTTGGGAGCGGTCAGCGTGTAATTGGCTCAGCAGTGGATGAGGTCACCCAAGAAGAGGGTGGAGAGGGCCGTGAGGCCGGGCCAGAGCCGTGGGGATCCCAGGCTGCCCGGGCTTGCGCCCCGGCCGGTCACACACTGCCACAGTCTGCCGGTGTGGGAGAAGGGGCCCTTGCCGGGTTCGTGGGAGAAGGGGCCCTTGCCGGGTTCGTGGGACGGGGACTTGAGAGCGCAGGTTCCTGTGACTCGGGAGACTGCCCACACGGTCTGATGGCATTCGCCGCCCGCCCCCACACGTCCTCATCTCCCCAAACCCAAGCTCTGGCCCCACGGAACACTCCCCACTCCCCTACCTCCCCCAGCCCCGGCACCCCTCACTGGGCTTCCTGGCTCCGGGGACTGCTGGGGTGGCCCCGTGAGCCGTGTATTCAGCCCCGCGGAACGAGGCCACGCCAGGTGTCGGTGCCCTGCCTTCCCCAGGCTGAAGCACACTGCGTGGCGTGGGTGGACGCGCCGAGTCTGTACGCGCCCGCGCTGGCCGCTGTGAATCCGGCCGGGTGGAGGAGGTTGGGAAGGGCCTGAAGGGGGTGGGGGGAGAAGCTAGAGAGGCTGAAGAAGGGGAAATCAATTGGAAAGGACTGAGTGTGGGGCAGGCCTTCGGCTCGGGGTTACAACACCACTTGGGACGCCCACGTCGCTCGTCAGGCTGTGTGGCTCCTGCCCTGGCTTCTCCGCCCCGGACCCCAGCTCCCTGCTAGTGCAGGCGCTCAGGGAGCCGCGTCCCCGCCGCCCACGCGGGAGACCCGGACGGAGCTCCTGGCCCAGCCCTGGCTGCTGCGGGCATCTGGGAGTGACCCAGCAGACGGAGATCTCGCTCTCCCTCTCCCTTCTAAGTAAATAAAATTAACAGCAACAGCAAAAAAGCGCTGGAGGCCATGAGTGCGGTCCAGCCGGGTGGGAGAGATGAGGCTTCTGTCCCCGCAGAAGGGCAGAGGGCCTGGCTCTCAGGAGCCTGTTCCCCAGGAAGCTGGAATTCTCCGGGCAGGCACGGGCCTTGAGAAAGCTGCTTCCAGCCAGTAGGGCCACTGCCCGCGACACCGACCCCGGCGTCCCATGTGGGTGCCGGCTCCAGGCCCGGCTGCTCCTCCTCTGGTCCGGCTCCCTGCCAGTGCGCCTGGAGGCAGCAGAGGACGGCCCAATGGTCCCTGCACCCATGTAGGAGACCCGATGGAGCTCCTGGCTCCTGGCTGTGGCCTTTCTCAGCTCCGGCGTTGTTGGCCATTTGGGGAGTGAACTGGTGGCCGGAGGACCTCTCTGTCTCTCCTCCCTCTCTCTAAGTCTGCTTTTCAAATACATGAATACATCTAAAAAAAAAAAAAAAGATTTTAACTTGCCGTGCCACAACACCAGCCCTGATTTAAAAAAAAAAAAAAAGATGTATTTTATTTATTTGAAAGGCAGAGTTACAGAGAGAAAGAGAGAGAGAGAGAGAGAGAGAGATCTTCCATCTGCTGGTTCACTCCTCAAATGGCCAAAATACCGGGCCAAAGCCAGCAGCCAGGAGCTTTGTCTGGGTCTCCCACAGAGGACTGGGGCGTCCATCTTCCACTGCTTCTCGGTGGAGTTCACGTGTGTTTGCAGGCCGTCTTGGAGGCAGTGCCGTGTTCCCAGGGACCTGCTGCTGTCCGAGGGGTGGTCTGCAGGGCAAGGCTGGGAGCCACGGAAACTTGGGCCTGCGCCACGCGGGTTGGCGGGGACCGAATAGAGCCCCGCGCGGGCTCGCCCCGCACCTCCTGCTCTCAGAAGCCACAGCGACAGACGCGCTCGCTTTGGGGACAGGTGTGTGGAATGTGAGACACCCAGGCCGGTGAAAGGGTGGGCTTCCAGTTCTAAAAAGAACTCTTCATTTTCTAGAAGAACCCACGTGCCTAGGGGCCTGTCTCTGGGGCGGTGTCTGGGGAGCCACAGGCAGTGAGCGTGTGGTGTGGGCCCAGAGGGTCACACTCCCGAGCCCAGCTCTCCTCCAGCTCCACGGCCCTCCCCAGGGTGGAAGCGGCCCCCTCTCCTGTCTAGAGCAGGGTTCTCCAGCCTCAGCCCCCCTCCCCGCCGGCGCCCCGCCTGCCCCCCTGCCCCCTGCTGTGGCTCCTCCCTGGGCCTGGGCTTTCTTCCCCTCCCTTCCGCTCCTCCCAGCCGCCCCGCAGTGCTGCGTCTGGGCCATCTCGTCTGGGCCATCTCGTCTGGGCCATCTCGGGAGGAACGCGCCGCGGGCACCTGCTCCCCACGCTCGTTGGCCAAACGGGTGTCCAGGCCTCCGGCTTTGTCGTAACCATTCAGACCGAGCTGGACGTTCGAGGCTTGTCCCCGTCCAGCCCAGTCTCTCAAGTGTCTCCTCGTGGACCGGCCTTCCTGTATGGGAGACGGGATCGGGGAGACGAGGGGAAAAGGAGACATTCCGGAGGCTTCGCGGGCTGAGAGATGGCTCGTTGAAGGTGCCTCTTTGGGAAGCTGCTTCCCTGAGGTGGTGGCCTGTCTCAGGTGGTGTCCTGGGGTGGTGTCCTGTCTGAGGTGGTGGCCTGAGATGGTGGCCTGTCTGAGATGGTGTCCTGTCTGAGATGGTGTCCTGTCCTGTCTGAGATGGTGTCCTGTCTGAGATGGTGTCCTGTCCTGTCTGAGGTGGTGTCCTGTCCTGTCTGAGGTGGTGTCCTGTCTGAGGTGGTGGCCTGTCTGAGATGGTGTCCTGTGTGAGGTGGTGGCCTGTCTGAGGTGGTGTCCTGTCCTGTCCTGTCTGAGGTGGTGGCCTGTCTGAGGTGGTGTCCTGTCCTGTCTGAGATGGTGGCCTGTCTGAGATGATGGCCTGTCTGAGATGGTGTCCTGTCTGAGATGGTGTCCTGTCTGAGATGATGGCCTGTCTGAGGTGGTGGCCTGTCTGAGGTGGTGGCCTGCCTGAGAAGGTGGCCTGCCTGAGGTGGTGTCCTGTCTGAGGTGGTGGCCTGTCTGAGGTGGTGGCCTGCCTGATGTGGTGTCCTGTCTGAGATGGTGTCCTGTCTGAGATGGTGTCCTGCCTGAGATGGTGGCCTGTCTGAGATGGTGGCCTGTCTGAGGTGGTGGCCTGTCTGAGGTGGTGGCCGATCTTAGATGGTGGCTGATCTGAGATGATGGCTGGCGCAAACCAAAGCCAGGCCAAGCGGAGGAGACGAGTGACGCGTACATTTGTCCAGGGCCATTATGGGAAAACCAAGCAGCAGATAGCCAAAGACCAAGCTCCGGATGGCCCAGCTGGGGTAAAGCAACGGGCAACTCCGGCCCACCCGTCTCCCTGGCGTCTCTACCCCGCACTTCTGGCAGGAGCTTCCGTGGGGAAGGTGCTCCGCCAGGGCCTCCCACAGGAGGTTCCACGGTGGCGCGGCGCGGCGCCCTCCCCCGGGACCAGCCCTGTAAATCCCCATCTCCAGCCGTCCCGGGAGCCCTGAGCCGAGCGCTCCCCAGAGGCTCCCTCCTACTGCCTTCCGGGGTGTACTCCCGCCTCGCTACCTGAACCTTTGCTGACCATCGCCGACAGCATCACCCTCAACAGGTCTCGTCCGCTCAGCCGTCTCCTGGAGCGTCCCTTCCGCTGGCGAATCCTGCTCCCTTGCCCCGGCACCGTGAGTCTCGCAACAGGAGGCTGGCGCTGGCTGTGCCCGCTCGGGTGACGCCGGGGCCTGGCGGAGGCTGCTGTGCTCTGTAGGGTGTCGACGGCACCCCGCCCCCCTCCTGCCAAGAGGGCCTCCTGTCCCCGAGTCGTGACACCGACTGGGTCTGTGGGCCTTGCCACGTGTCCCCAGGGTGGGGGCCCATGGATTAATCGGCCACAGGTGACAGGGACTGCCGGGGAATCGCCACCGCACGTAGTGTCACAAGGCCACTTGACCACGCAGGAGTATGTGTGCCCCTTATTTCCTGCTCCTGCTCACGGCAGGCACCGGAGGACGGGACAGCTGTGCCCGCCCACATCCCGTAGGCCATCGCATGCCCACTTCCTGTAGGCCATCGTGCATGGGGCCTCTTCTCCAGTGTGTGAGTGAGTGAAACATGTGAACGCAAGCGCTCGTCAACATCTGGCGAGGCCTGTGCCACGTGGTGGCCTTCAGTTTCAACAAGAAGCAGAAACCCGGTCAGGTGTCTGGTAGCCGTGAGAACTCCCTGGTGCTGAGCTGGTCTGAACACCCAGCCCTTTGATACGTAGTGGTCTTCCTCTGCCAGACTGCCAGGCACCTCTGCTGTCACTTGACTCCTCTCTGCCCAGCTGAAATGTCAAGGCAAGTTCTTTTCTAGAAAGTTCGGTGGGGGTGGGGCTCTCACATGGGATGGACCCTTGCTGGGCGCTGAGTCCGGAGCGGAGACTGTGAAATGCCTGCTTCTGTGTCAAGCTGGTTGCAGTGGCTTAATTGTCTTGTTTGGCCTGGAAATCTGCAAGGTTGTCTCTCTGTTCAAAAGTCCGTTTGGATGTGGCACTCCAACACTGTGGCGTGAAGGAATTCTCCCTTGCGCTCTGTGGGAAAGCAAGGTTATTGGGCAAGTTGTGTGTGAAAGCTTAGCTTTTGCTGTGGATCAAGCAACCTGTGGGCGATTGGAAGGCCGCAGAGACCTTGGCCACCCCCAAGAAGTCAGCCTAGCCCGAGCTGTGCCGGCGGACATGGTTATAGAGAATCTGCAGAGTGGCACACAGTATGCTCACTTCGTAAGCAAATATTTATTTAATTTCAAAGAAAAATCTACTTCGTTTATTGGAAAAGCAGAGAGAAAGAGATTGTCCATCCCCTGGTCCACTCCTCAAATACCTGTAATAGCTGGAGCTGGGCCAGGCCAAAGCCAGGAGCCAGAACCAATCCAGGCCTCCCGCGTGGGTGGGAGGGCCCCAGTACATGGGCCGTCACTGCTGCCCCCTAGGGTGCGCATTAGCAGGGGGCTGGCCTCAGGAGAGGAGCAGGGACTCGAACCCAGGCCCTCTGACACCAGGGTCCCAGGCAGTGGCTTCACTGTGCCACTGCCGGCCCTGCAGGCAAACGTTGCCAAAGTAGGCTTCCCTCCTTGGAGACCGTATCCCCAGCCTGACTCACCGGTCCGGCAGTGTCTCCCAGCGCACGTGGGGCTGCTGCCATTGGCAGAGGGCCATGGGCAGTCTTCCTTCCCAGCTCTCCTGTCCTGAGACTGGGGAGCAAGGCTCACGTGGTGCCCGGACAGCCTTAGCCATGCTGGGACGTGCATGGTCTCTGTGTTTAACAAGAGCACGCCTCGGGACTCAGGAGTGGAGCGTTAAAGAAAAATAGTGCTGCTGAATCGTGTTGGTGTCAGGGGTGCAAAATCAATGTGGAGGCACGGGTTCGAGGTTGTTGACCAAGTGGCCCTGGTGGACTTGGAAGGAGACAGTCTCCCCATCTTATGGCCCTGTTAGGATCAGCGCTGGGAGAGCCCCACCCTGAAGCTTCCACCAGGCAACCCCAAATGTCTTGCCAGGCAAAGAGTTTTTGTTTTTGAGAGACAGAGGCAGAGAGCTCCCGTTCACTGTTTCACTCTTCGAATGTGCCTGCAGCAGCCAGGTGGGCTGGGGCGGGAGCCAGGAGCTGGGACGCAGCGCAGTCTCCCACATGCGTGTCGGGACCCGGTGGTTGGGCCAGCACCCCTGCCACCCAGGGCCTGCGTTAGCAGGAAGCTGGAGTCAGGAGCCGGCGCCAGGCATCAACCCAGGCCCCCGTGTGGGACTCACGCATCTCAGCCAGCATCGGGACACTAGGCTTGGTGCTCGCTCCGAGCGGTCATCTTTGATGAGATTTATTTATGTATTTGAAACGCAGAGTTACACAGGGAGAGAGGTGAGGCAGAGGATCCCTCATCTGCTGCTCCACTCCCCAAACAGCTGCCACAGCCGCAGTGGCTGTAAGTGGGCCGATCCGAAGCCAGGAGCCAGGAGCTTCCTCTGGGTCTCCCACGTGGGTGCAGGGGCCTGAGGACTTGGGCCGTCCTCCATCCTCCACTGCTCCCCCAGGTGCATTAGCAGGGAGCTGGATTGGAAGTGGAACAGCTGGGGCTCAAACCCATGTGGGACACTGGTGTCGCAGGTGGAGACTTAACCTTCTCTATGCCTCGGCCTCAGCACAGGCCCCTGCTTGGCCTTTTACAATTCCTGTGCCCCCACACCATCTACAGTCAGCCACAAGCCGAAGATATTAGATGCAAAATTCCAGAAAGAAGCAACTTAGCAGTTTTAAGTAACTCCTGTGACAGCATATTACTGTACTTGTTCTATTTTATTAGTTACTGTTGATAGTCACTTGTAAATGAGCACTTATCGTCGACATGTGTGTATAAGAATAGGACACACAGGGCCTGCTACTGTGGGTTCAGACATCCACTGGGGGCCTGGGGTGTGGCCCTGCAGACGAGGGGCGACTGCATTGCTCGTCGTCCTCGTGAAGCCCACGCTGTCCGAGTGCTGGACACCCCTGAAGCGTGGGCATGCACTGATGGGCGCCCCTGCTCCGGCCAGGGTCCGAGGAGCGCTTTCTCCTGCTCGCCCAACTCCGCTTGCCTTGACCCGGCAGCCTTAGCTCAGTCTGGATCCTTCTTGGACAGCTTTAGGGAGCACAGGGCCAGCAGGAAGACCAAGGCCCCGAGTGTAGAGGGGTGCACTATTGTGGGGTCCCACCCTGGGTGCCCGGCCCTCGCCACAAACCCAAGTAGCCAGCACTCAGCTCCTTGTCCGGGGGTCTCGGCCAAGGGTGTTGCTGGAGCCGTCCCTGCATCCCCCAGGCCTGAAGACTGGGGGTGTCGTGTCCTCTAGCCGCCGTCACCCCCAGCAGGTCTCAGCTCCTGTGGTCCCCTCTGACGTCTGATTGGGCGGCTCTAGTGAACACCCTCTGATTCAGGACTCCTAGGGCAGCCCCCAACTCCTCCCTTACAGGAAGGCTATGGCCCAGGCCCTGTTTTTCTTCATTCTCCCAAACTTGCTGCTTCCAGGGGCTGGAAGCCGTGGCCGGGTGGGTGTGTGTGATGTCCTTGGGCAAAGAGCGCACTGCACCCTGTCCCAGGCACTTGCGCTACCTCCCTGGTGAGCAGCGAGGACATGCTGAGGCGGGAGAGTGGTGTGCGATACCCCTGTGAGCACGTCCGCCAGGCGTCGCAGTGCGGTGCCAGTGCCAGCGTCCCATTCGGGTACTGGTTTGTGTCCCGGCTGCTAATACGCTGGAGGCAGTGGAAGATGGTCCAGGGCCCCTGCACTCATGTGGGAGACCGGAGGGAGCTCCACAGTCCGCTGGGAGCGCACGGTGACGGCCATGTGGTCGTCAAGACGCAGACAGCACGTGCGGGCCGTGGGCCAATAAAACGTCATGCATGGACGCGGACACGTAGACTTCCCATCATCTTCATGCCACAGAAAGTATTTTGATTGTGACTTCTCCATCCACTTAAAAATGTCAAAACCATTCTTAGCTGGTGGGCCTTGTGAAAGCTGGAGACCAGACAGGACGGACCTGCCTGTGCCCACACTGCCCGCTATAGCCCTTCTCCAAGGGGTCCTGCCTGTCCCCCTGCCCCCGCTCCAGCTCAGCCTCTGTGCCCTTCCCCCGACCGCCACTCCCTGCCCTTGAACTAGTCCGGCCCAGTGCTTGATGGCCAGGGCTCTGAGACCCCAGCGCCTGTCTCCATGGCCACCGTTGGCTCCGTCAGGAACCCTTTTTGTCTCCTGGGCGAAGGCCCAGAGGACAGACTCCATGTCCAGCTGTTGTGGGACACCAAGGAGAGTGAGCAGCCGTCGGGCTGGCGAGATCACACTTAGATGTAAGAGTCACTTTGCCCGCTTGCTAGGAAAGCGGGGTCTCTCCAGACGCTGAGCGGTCACGGCTTGGTGCTGCACCCTCAGCGTCGTCACCGCCGGCATCCCCACACGCGTAACTGAGGTTTGCAGGAGCTGTGTCGTAAACAGAGGAATGAACGTGACTTACTAGTGCGCTTCACTCAAGGCACTGTATGGAAATACTGTTGTTGCCGTACGTAATCGGTACGAGCAGAGGAGCACCGCGGTATTCCTCGCTCCTTTTGTGTGCTACGTCTTAGAAAGAGCAGCTTGAACCGGCCACACCTGAAGGACCCAGTGGCCCACGTGGCCAGCAGCTCCTGTGCTGGCCACCCAGGTGAAGATGTTCCAGTGGAGGTGGGTTCAAGTTCTAAGTCTCTCTCTCTCTCTCTCTCTCTTTTTTTTTTTAAAGATTTATTTATTTGAAAGGCAGAGTTACACAGAGACGGAGAGACAGAGAGAGATCTTCCACTGGTTCACTCCTCAAATGGCCACAACAGCTGGGTCTGGGTGAGGCTGGAGCCAGGAGCCAGGAGCTCCATCTGTGTCTCCCATGTGGGTGCAGGGCCCAAGCACTTGAGCCGTCCCAGCTGCCTCCCAGGCGCGTGAACAGGGAGCAGTCAGGAGCGGTGCGGCCCCAGGTGCCGCGCCAGGTCGCCGGTCTGTGCCCCGTGCTTGCCCAGAGCCGCGCCGCCTCCTCCCTCCCCGACCCTCACCTTGAAGGCCCTGGCTCACTCCTGACCTCAGCAGGTCGCAGACCCCTGACGACCCGGTGTCAGGGGATGCTGGCGGCCTCTGCCCGGCCCGGCCGCTCCCTGTGACCCGCTCCCTGTGAGGGGTGCTCAGATCACCTCGCTGCGCCGGGGCACTGGCTCTGCCTCGCTCTGTCACTGCAAGCCGCGCACGTGCCCGTGGGGGCCTCCTGGGGAGGCCCGGCTGCTTAGCAGGTTCACGCCTGCTGCCCTTGGCTGCGCCCGACTGTCACCCAGCAACCACTCCCCGGCTGCTTTGCGTTCCGTCTGCATTCCGGCCACCTTTCCTCCCCACCAAGGGCTCTGCTTCCTGCCCAGTGGCCCCGTGCGGCCTGCTGGGGACCTGACCTGCTGGGGCCTCTGTCTGCCCCTCTCGCAGCCACTGTGGCCGCTGCCAGTCCAGCTCCTGCTAAGTGCCCGGAAGGCCGCAGGTGATGGCCCCGAGTACCTGGGCCCCCTGCCACCCATGAGGGAGACCCGGATGGGGTCCTGGTCTTTGAACCCACAGATGGAGGACATCTCTCTCTCTTTCTGTCTCTTCTCCTGCTTCTCTGTGCCTCTCAAATAAACAAACACATCTTTAACAAACAAACAGGATTCCCGTGACCTAGTGCTGGATAATCATTCTTCACCTGCAGCCTTCTTGTATTTCGAGTTCAGTGGATCCTCTTTTTGTTTCTGGAGCCCTTCAAGATTTCTGAGACACTAACTGAACTGGTTCTCCTTCTCTGTCTTTTAAATGCCAGTAGAATCCCCCACAGGAGCCGCTCCTTCACCTCCCAGGGCCGTGTTCCCGAGGGCGTGGCCCAGGAGGTGTGCACTTGTCTGACAGTCCTCGTTCACAGCCCTCTGCTTGCTCTCTTTTTCTGAAATTTATTTTTATTTATTTGAAAGGCACAGTTACAGAGAAAGAAAGGGAGAGGCAGGGAGAGGCGGAGGGGGCAGGGAGAGGCGGAGGGGACGGGGGCGGGTCTTCCAGCCACTGCTTCTGTGAGGGCCAGGGCTGGGCCAGGCAGGAGCCAACAGTTTATTCCGGGTCTCCCACGTGGGTGCAGGGACCCAAGTCCTTGGGCCGTCCTCTGCTGTTTCCCAGGCCCGTTAGCAGGGAGCCAGATGGGAAGGGGGGCAGCCAGGGCTCGCGCTGGGTCAAATGGGACGCCAGTGCCGTGGGCAGTGGCTTCACCCGCGGTCGCACTGTGCTGGCCCCATCTTTGCAGCCCTTCTGAGTCGGCGTGGGGGGGGGGTGGTTCACCACTCCAGGGTCTTGGAGGGATTGTAGGCAGAGGGTGTTTGTTGGTCACCCAAGTTTTCCTGAAGGTATCAGCAGGAATTTTGGCTTCGCAAGCTCTCTTGGCTGGCTTTCCCCTAATGGTGAGCGCTGTCCCGTTTCCCTTCCTCAGCGACGGTTTCCGTTTCTCTATCATTGTTTTTTTCTCCTTGGCTGATATTTGCCAGCGCTCACTGTCATCTCTTCCACGAGTTTTACCTGAAAGGCAGACGGAGCTTCTGTCCACTCCCCGGATGCCCGCCACAGCTGGCGCTGAAGCCGGGAGCCGAGGGCTCCGTCCAGTCTCCCTCCCACACGGCGGGCAGGGACCCTTGATTGCAGCTGCTGCCTTGCGGGTGCCCGTTCGCAGGATGCTGGGTCAGGAGCCGGGCACCGAAGCCAGGCGCTGTGGTGAGGGACACGGGCGTCCCACCCTCCGGGCCTGCTCCGCGACTCCCGAGTCGCATACGGTGGCTGACTTGTTTTGAGTTGAGCCTTTGCCAGGAGTCCTGGCTAGAACCCAGGGGCTAGACCTGGAGCCGGCCTCTCTGGAATGAGAGCGTGCGTGGGGACTGACCTAAAGCCCCTGGCACGCCAGAACAGACGGGGTCTCTGGGCAGACGCGGCCAAGGAGGGGCCTGTCCGCAGCGGAAACCGCCGCTGCCCCCAAGCCTCCTGCTCGTCCCACCTTGCGGGTATTTTCTCCCCGATGTTCCTGGACTCTCGGGCAGCCACAGAAAGGCAGAGAGAGAGGGGTCTTCCATCCGCTGGTTCACTCCCCAGATGGCCACAGAGGCTGGAGCTGGGCCAATTCGGAGCCAGGAGCCAGGAGCTTCTTCTGGGTCTCCCATGCTGGTGCAGGGGCCCAAGCATCTACTGCTGTCCCGGGCCACAGCACAGAGATGGATCAGAAATGCAGCAGCCGGGACTCGAACTGGCGCCCATCTGGGATGCTGGTCCTGCAGGCTGTGTTTCACCACAGTGCCAGCCCTGCCATCATGTACCTTCGCGGTAACTGAGTACTTACCTGGATAACCCTCCATTTAATGAGTGTGTAGCTACTTGGATCTTTAATCTGCTGGTTCACTCTCCACATGCCGGCAGCTGCCAGGATTGGGCCGGGCTGAAACCAGGAGCCAGGAATTCCATCCAGGTCTCCCACATAGGTGGCAAGGGTCCTCTGCTGCTTTCCCAGGTGCATTAGCAGGGAGCTGGATCAGAAGTGGGGCAGCCGGGGCTCAAACCAGCACTTTGGTGTGGGCTGCCACGCGGCCGCAGCTTCACCTGCTGCACCACAGCGCCGGCGAGGAGAGCTGTGTTTTTAAACATAAACTCATTGCGCCAGTGTCGTCGGCACTGTGGATGCTGGAGTTCTGACTTGGAGGCTGTGCCTCATTCCTGTTAATAACAGTGTTACAGCGAGGCTGGGCCAGACCATTGAAGAGTTTGCTCTGTGCGGGAGCTTTTCAGCTGTTTCCTCCCTCCCTCCCTTCCTTTTTTTCTTGAAACACAGCAAGCGGGCTCGCGGGCTCTCATTTGCTGGCTCGCTCTCCAAATGCTTGCCACAGTTGCCCCAGGCTGCAGACAGAATCAGAAGCCAGGAACTCAGTGCAGGTCTCCCAGGTGGGCGGCAGGAGCCGCTCACTGGAGCCACCACCGCTGCCCCAGGGCGCGCGTGAGCCGGGAGTGGGGTCAGGAGCAGAGCTGGGAGCAGAGCCCAGGCGCTGCAGCGGGGACCGGGGCGTCTGAACCACCGCGCCAAGTGTCTGTTCCCGTTTTTAACTTTCTGTGACTCTACTGCTGCCGCGGGACTCGGGCATAGACCCTGGCAGCTTCGGCGAGCCAGACTTCCTGTGCCTTGACGCTCACCCCGGTGTATGGGCAGTGGTTTTCAGGACAGGCACATGTCCCCCAGTCCAGGGCACACGTCCTGAGCGCTGCATCGTGACCGGGCGAGCATCCTGGAGGGCGCAGTCGGGAGACACGGTCAGCACGAGCTGGACAAGGCGCTGATCCTGGCGTGTGCGCGTCCATTTTGTGCCTTGAAGCAGTGCAGGGGCCAGCGCTGGGGCACGGCGGGTCAAGCCACTGCCTGCGACGCCAGCCTCCCGTGTCAGGAGCGCTGGTTCCCGTCCACTTCCCATCCAGCTCCGGAAGGCAGTGGACCATGGCCCAAGTGCTTGGGCCTCTTCCACCCACGTGGGAGAGCCTGGTGGAGCTCCTGGCTCCTGGCTTTGTCCTGGCCCAGCCCCGGCCGTTGCAGCCTTTGGGGTGTGACCCAGTGGGTGGAAGATTTCTTTCAGTCTCTGTCTCTCCCGCTCTCTGCCTTCCAGGTAAATTAATGTTTGATAAAAAGAAAGAGTGCATTGTGAGATAACAATAAGTGTAAATGCAGAAACCGGCCATTGTCCAGCACTGTGGGGCAAACGTCTGTGCCCAGCGCCGCTGCATACCGCGAGCTGCGTGTCGCACGGAGCCGTGCACCTGTCACTCCTCCCATCTCAGAACACTCTTAGCGTCCCCCCAAAGCACATGTGGTACCCATCGTTAGCAGCCCCTTCCGCTCCTCTCCCCGCGCCTGACGGCCGCCCAGCTGCTTCCTGTCCTGTGGCTTCGCCTGTCCTGGACGCTTCCTGTCAGTGGCGTCACTCGGTGGCCTTTTGTGCCTGTGTCTCCCGGAGCGTGGTGCTGTCAGAATTCCTGTACGCTGTAGCATTGTCAGTGCCTCCTTTCTGTTGATAGCCACGGATGGATCACGTGTTTATCCATTCACATTTTTAAAATTATTTTTATTGAGGAATTTGAGAGGCAAAGAGATAGAGAGAGGAAAAGGGAGAGCGAACGAGAGATCCCTCACCTGCTGGTTCGCTCCCCAGTGTCCACACGGCTGGGGCTGAGCCAGGTCCGAAGCCGGGAGGCGGGAGCTCATGCTGGATCCCACGTGGAACCAGGTCCTTGAGCCGTCGTGCTGCCTCCAGGTGGCCGTGAGCAGGGAGCTGGGGTCAGGGGTCAGAGCCGGGTTGAACCTGGGTGTTCCGATGTGGGACGTGGGCATCGTGACCACTCTGCCGAACTCCTGCCCCTGTGCGTCCGTCCCCGCTTTGGGGCTGTCACAAGTAACACTGCTGTGAGCTCCCTTTCCAGAAACTGGCAGGAAGCAAAGCGAATCCATAAGCAAGCCCCGGGCTCGCTCTCACTGGCAAGTATGGCACCGGCGTGCAGCCTCGGTCGCCGTCTGTGCAGCAGTGGACAGGACACTCCTCGTGGGTGCTGCGGCCCCGGCAGGAGTGCAGCACACAAGCTGACTCCCAGGAGGGAGAAGGCCTTGTCCGCAAGGAGAGCGGCTTGCCCTGGCTCCGCGCGGGAGAGAGCCGAGCGGAGTGTGCGGCTGGAGTGAGGAACCCACAGCATGCCCTGGAAAGCGCGTGGGACGGGCGCGAGGCACGCCCGAAGCCTTTATCAAGATCACACGCCCGTGAAGTCAGCAGCAGCAGCAGCGCTGGGCGTAACCGCCTTCAGCGTGTCAGACACTCCCCTCTGCCCGAGTGTCTGCTGGGTGTCGCCCTGGTTTTGTTGAACACCGGACGGGCAGATGGATACAGAAACGAAGCTCAGATGAGTTCAGTGGCTGGCTGAAGTCACCCAGCCAGCACGCTGGGGACTAAGGGTTTGGACCGGGCTGTGTTTGCGTGGAGTCCCGCGCTGTCTTGATTTCTCTCTTCTCTGCTGGGCTGTCCCTCCCTGGTCTCCTCCGCTCCATCTGCCAGCTTCCGTGACCCCTGAACTTGAGCCACCTCTGCTCCACCTCCAGCTGCTCTCTTGGTGATCTGGCCAAGCTGCAGGAGTCGAAATGCGTCTGCGTGTGTCCAGCCTGGCCGCCCCCCGAGTCCCGCACTTGGGCGCTGTCTGCCCGAGTGGCAGCAGTGCTGGGAGGCTGCCCGGTGTGCCCCAAACCTGCCGCCCGGGCCTCGCGGCTTCTGAAAGGCGAATCCAGCTCAGTGGCTGCCCCTGCACCCCAGGAAGCTGCACACCCACCAGGGCGCCCCTCCCTCCTGAAGGCTTCTCCGCCCCCTCCTGCCTGACTCAGTGCCTCTGGCTGTTAGGAGGAGTGCCACAGGGCCTAGGCTGAGGCTTTGGAGCCCCGATGTGTGTATTCAGTTCTGGAGGCTGGAGGCGAGACTGAGGGGCCCGTGGGGTCGGGGTCCGGGGAGGGGTGGAGGAGGGTCCCTTCTTGGCTGTGGACGGCCACCTTCTTACCCCCAGGACCAGCCGCCTCCTGGAGGCCCCTGGAGACCATGGCTTTGGGGGTGAGGGTTTCACCCTGAGGATCTTAGGGAGCACAGAGTGCAGTCCGGAACGTTCCCCCAGCTCACTTTGCCCCACGAGCCGGAGCCTCACCTGTGCCTCTGGGGCACCGTCCCCGCCGCTCGGTTCGTCTGTGTCCACCCCGACTGTGCCCCTGCCCCCCGTCACCTCATCACCCTGCGCCCACGTCACACCCCTCCTGGTCTTTTGGGGTTAGTTTTCCTCACGCGCCTGCCTTGTCCTGACATTCCTGGTCTGATGTCACCCCCGACCCCCAGGGTCAGGGCCTCCGCCTCTTTCCTCCCCAGCTGGACCCCGCCCTCGGCAGGGGCTCGTGCTTCATTTGCTGAGTGAGCGAGAGAGCACTGGTTGTCGCGTGGGCTCCCAGAGAGTGTGGGCGGGTGGGCCCCTTTCCATCGCAGCCCCTCCCCCAGGGACTGGGTGGTCTGAGCGAGACCCCGCGTCCCACACCCGAGTGCCTGGGCTCGTGTCCTGCCTCTGCACTTGACCCACTCCTAATTCCAGCTTCCTGCTCGTGCAGACCGTTGGGCCCTGCACCCCCGTGGGAGACCCGGATGGAGCTCCTGGCTCCTGGCTTCAGCCTGACCCGGCCCTGGCTGTTGTGGACATCTGGGGAGCGAGCCAGCAGATGGGGGCTGTCTCTCCCCTTCTCTGTCCTCTCTCTCTGACTCTTTTATCCCTTTTTCTCTCTCTCTCTCTGCCTCTTAAATAAAAGAAAGAAAAGAAAAGAGAGAACAGTACCGAGGTTCTGCGGCACCTTGACGTCAGAGAGGCGAGCCGAGCCCGCCGACCAGCCAGGAGGGTCGCTGCTGCCTCCCTCCCTTAACCTCCGCACCCTGCCCGGCAGCTCCAGATCTGTCCCCAGTCGCCCTGCAGCGTGCCCGTGTGCCGCTGGGGCCCGCCGCCTCGCTCATCCTCCGTTGTCTTGAGTGTTGACCTTGAGCAGTGCAGGTGGAGGGAGCCGGCCGCTGTCCAGAGCCGCTGCTGCCCAGGGCAGGTCTCGCTGGCGCTTGCCGAGCCGCGTCCTGTGGTTGTGCACGGTCACTCACAGGCCAGCACGAAACACACACTTTCGGTGGTGTGCCGGGGACTGGGGAGGGGAGGAGGAAGCAGGCGGCTTCCTGTTGGCTCCTTTCGCCCTCACAGATACTTCCGGAACCAATCCAGGCTGAGTCGGGCAGGACAGCATAGAGGGCGTGCAGCCCAGCTCACTGGGGTTAGGTGCCCTAGCCATGAAACTTGAGGAGGGTCCTTTGGTCCCGTGGTTAGGAAGCCCACGTCCCACGTGAGACTGCCTGGGGTGGAGTCCTGGCTCGCGCTCCTGACTCCAGCAGACTGCGCGTGCGCACCCTGGGCGGTGGCAGGGACGGCCCAAGTCCTTGGGTCCCGGCCACCCACACGGGAGACTTGAATGGAGTGCAAAGCTCCTGGCTTCTGTGGCCTGATCCAGCCCTGGCTGTGGCAGGCATTTGGGGCATGAACCAGTAGACAGGAGACCTCTCTCTCTCTCTCTCTCTCTCTCCCTGTCAAATAATTGAAAATAAGTAAACTTGTGTAAAAGAGACGCAGCTGCTTGTCCATTATTCCGTCCCGCTGTGAGGTTGAGAGGGCTTTGTCAGGTCACCCTACTTCTCTCCTTTGAATATTTTCAAATTCCACTCAGGTGGAAATCCCCCAAATACCCACGTGTACTTTAATAGTGGGGCCAGTGCTGCGGCGTAGTAGCTAAGCCTCTGCCTGCGGCGCCGGCATCCCATATGACACTGGTTTGTGTCCGGGCTGCTCCTCTTCCGATCAGCTTATGGCCTGGGAAAGCAATAGAAGACGACCCAAGTGCTCAGACCCCTGCACCCGCGTGGGAGACCTGGAAGAAGCTCCTGGCTTCTGGTTCTGGATTGGCCCAGCTCCGGCTGTTGTGGCCATCTGGGGAGTGAACCAGCAGATGGAAGACCTTGTTCTAGGTCTCTCCCTCTCTCTGTAACTTTAACTCTCAAATAAATAATAAAGTCTTTTAAAAAATTATGCTAGGCGCCAGTGTTGTACAGTGCCAAGCTGCCATTGGCAATGCCTTCCTGTATTGGCGCGCTTGTTTGAGTCCTAGCTTCTCTGTTTCCTTTCACGCTTCCTTCTGATGCACCTGGGAAGCAGAAGGAACACGACCCAGATGCCTGGACTCCTGCCACGTGTGGGAGACTGTACTGAGTTCCAGGCTCCTGGTCAGCCTGGTCCAGCCCCGGCTGTTGCGGGCATTTGGGGAGTGACCTATCAGATGGAAAATATCTACCTCTCTCTGTCTCTGTCTCTGTCTCTGTCTGTCTCTGTCTCTCTCTCCCCCCATTCTCTGTTGTTCTGTCTTTCAAATAAATAAATCTGTTTAAAGCTATGCCAAAGTAGAGACAAGGGAGGGGAGAAGAGAGCTAACAGGTCCCAGGGAGCAGGGACGGGAAGAGGCCCTGGATAACCGCTGGCAGCAGTACCTGCGAATAGAATTCTAAATGTTCCCAACACAAGGAAACAGGCAGTGTTTGCGGGGTAGACAGGCCAGTTACCGACCCACTCACTACATGTCAACACCCGTAACTCACGGCCAGGGTCTTCAACCGAAAAAACCAGGCATGGATTTCAAGATTTCATTGTGTGGAAATAGTAGTCAGGCCCACCCAGCAGCAGATGGGTATGTTACCACGGAGACTTCTAGAAGCCAGGAGGAGAGAACGCTGGGCCTTAAGGATCTGGAAGGTGGCAGCTCGCTCAGGAGGGATGCAGGGGGCTAGGGTTGGCCTCGTAGCACCATGGGTTAAGCAGGAGGGATGCCGTGGGCTGGGGGTCGGCCTTCTGGCGCGTGGGTTAAGCAGGGGGATGCCGTGGCTGGGGTCGGCCTTCTGGCGCTGTGGGTTAAGCCGCCACTGCCACACCAGCATCCTGGCTGCTCCACTTTCCTTCCAGCCCCCCTGCTAGTGCGTCTGCGAGGCAGCGGTGATGGCCCAAGAGTTTGGACCCCTGCCACCCACGTGGGAGACTGGGATGGAGCTCCTGGCTCCTAATTGCAGGCACTGGGGGAGTGAACCAGTGGGTGGTGACCTCTCTTTCTCTCTTTCTCGCTCCCACTCCTGTCTCTGTCTCTGCCTTTCCAGGAAGTAAATCAGGAAGTAAATCCTTTTTTTTTTTTTTGACAGGCAGAGTGGACAGTGAGAGAGAGAGAGAGAAAGAGAGAGAAAGGTCTTCCTTTGCCATTGGTTCACCCTCCAATGGCCGCTGCGGCCGGCGCACCGCGCTGATCCGAAGCTGAAGCCAGGAGCCAGGTGCTTCCTCCTGGTCTTCCATGGGGTGCAGGGCCCAAGCACCTGGGCCATCTTCCACTGCACTCCCGGGCCACAGCAGAGAGCTGGCCTGGAAGGGGGGCAACCGGGACAGAATCCGGTGTCCCGACCGGGACTAGAACCCGGTGTGCCAGTGCCCCAGGCAGAGGATTAGCCTAGTGAGCCGCGCGCCGGCCAGTAAGTAAATCCTTGAAGAAGCAGGCCTGGATGGGCAGGCTCGCCGTTCTGCGTGCGGCGTCTGTCTCTGTTTCTCTCTCTACCTTTCCAGCAGTGAGAACATTCTGTTCCCCTTGTTTTTTCTTCTTCTTCCCAAGTTATCTTTTATCCTGCTTTGGAGCTGACTTCATACAGAGCTGGGAACGCAGACAGCAAACACAGACGAGGCAAAGCCAAGGGTTTGTCCTCCGCTGTCCTGGTGGTCCTGAGCTGCTCGCTGGTCTCACGGCAGACGGGTCCTGCCCAGCCCCACGCCGGGGCGGTGAGCGGTGAGCGGTGAGCGCTGGCCTCCAGCTCTGGTGTCGCAGCAAAGCCACCTAGAGTGCTTGACTAGTGTCTTGACTTAAATCGCCTCTCTGAAGCAGCACTGTGTCAGTGTATTTTCTTAGAGCAAATTGGGCCGAATTCGTTTGCAAACCTAGACCACCTCCAGCATTTCCCTCTTCGGTGTAGAGTTTTGACTTTAACAAGAACTCTGTTTCGCCCTGTTGACACTGTCGTGGGGATGGAAATAGAATGTCCTTTTGTCGTCTCTGCTCGTTTTGGGATGTTGAGGGGAGATGACAGGTGGAATAAATATTTCTAATTTTATCTTTGATTGCAACATTTTCATTTCTTCAGATTCCTGGGTTGTACCAAGGGGATTTTTTTTAAGATTATTTATTTGAAAGGCAGAGTTACAGAGAGGCAGAGACAGAGAGAGAGGGAGAGAGAGAGGGAGAGGGAGAGGGAGAGAAAGGTCTTCCATCTGCTGGTTCACTCCCCAAATGGCTACAGTGGCCATAGCTGGGTCCATCTGGAGCCAGGAGCTTCTTCTGGGTCTCCCACACAGGTGCAGGGGCCCAGCACTTGAGCCATCTTCTACTGCTTTCCCAGGCTGTGGTAGAGAGCTGGATCAGAAATGGAGCAGCCGGGACTCGAACCAGTGGCCATATGGGATGCCGGCACTGCAGGAGGCGGCTTTACCTGCTGTGCCTCAGTGCTGCCCCCAAAGGGATCTTTGTTTTTATTTTTAAAGATTTGTTTGTTTATTTGAATGGCAGAGTTAGACAGAGAGAGAGAGAGAGAGAGAGAGGTCTTCCATCCACTGGTTTACTCCCCAGATGCCTGCAACAGCTGGAGCTGAGCCAGGCTGGAGCCAGGAGCCTGGGACTCCATCCAGGTCTCCCACGTGGGTGCAGGGGCACGAGTGCTTCACCATCCTCTGCTGCCTCCCAGACGCATTAGCAGGGAACAGGATGGGAAGTGGAGCAGCCGGGACTCGAACCAGTGCACCAGTATGGAAGGCTGCCGTCAGGGGGCAGCTTAACCCGCTGCACCACAAAGCCCCACTGAAGGGGCCTCTGGCTCAGTTTTCTGTCCCAGACGGATCCAGGTGTTTCTGTCCTGGGGACAGTTAGTGACAGATTCTTCCCCTGAAACAGGATGGGCTCTCCTCAGCTGGGCTGAGCCCGCCATCGTCCGGGGCGGGAGAGCTGTGCTGTGGGAGCTTGCCCAGAAAGATGCCTGGCCGCCGCGTTTCTCTTGCGTTATGTCTTGGTAATCTCGCGTGGTTCAAGCACAGCTAAGCAAGAAGTACACCTTGACTTCTCTGCGTGACCCTGGAAGTTTCCTCATTTTGTGCATTTTTGCATTCGCTTGGCAAGAGCAACAGTTGGGTTTGTTCAACGCCATTTCTAGCTCAGCGCGAGCGTGCCTCATCTCAGAAACCCGGAGTCCCAAATCCAGCCCCTTCGAGCGCCCATGTGAAGCTGTCGGTCGGGAGTTCCACGCTGGACCTCGTGGGACAGGTGACGGGCAGAAGCAGGCACCCTGGAGACAGTGTAGATGGTCACCTTCAGGCCGCGCGGCTGTGAACTTCCCGTGTGGACTTGGGTCCCGTGCCCAGGATGTCTCATCACGTGTGTGCAAATATTCCAGAATCGGGAGCACTCCTGGCCCCGGGCGCTCAGCCTGTAAGCCCTGGAAAGATCTGTGCTGTGGGTGGATTTTTCTCTATGGCGTCGCAGCCATAGAGAAAGCCGTGACAAAGTGCGTCGTGTGTGGACCTAAGGGAAAGATGGGTGTCTGCCCCCGTGGAGCCTGAACCTGTGTGGGGGCAGGTGTCGGTCCTTGAGCACCCCAAAGTCCAGAGAGGCCGTCTCCGAGCCCGGGGTCTGCTGGGAACAGCCAGGCCCCACCTCCAGCTCCAAGCTACCCTGGTAGTCCTCACGGGCCGCCACTCTGGTTACTGGGGACTGACTGGGAGTAGACGGGGGGTTCTGGGGCCCAGAAATGGGCTTGGGAACTGGGACCTCCTCTGAGGGAGGAGGTGACTCAGTGGCACCCGTCTCCTTGCACCTGCTGGCCACTGCCCTCCTCTCCCAAACAAGTAGACCATGGGCCGTGCGTCGGGTCTGGCCAGCCCCTCTCCTCTTCTGCAGGGCGGCCCACTTGTCCCATCGGGCAGGTTCCCCTAACAGTCTTTATTCTCGCTCATGAGCCAGTTCCCTCCCACTGAGCCCCTCCCACCAGAATACCCACCGGCGCTGCCCATTTCCCCAGAAGCCCTCTGTCAACCTTGCCCTCCCACTGCCCCCTGGGCCTCTCCCTCCCTCTCCTGCAGGGTCCTCGGAAGAGCCCGCCTGCCCCTCTAGACTGCAGCTTCTCTCCACGTGGGCTCTCTGGAACCCATGGAGTCCATACTGCTCCCCTGGACCTGCCCGGTCATGGTCACTGGTGGTCCGCTCAGCCCCAGACCCACTCGGCTCTCAGGACACCACCTGCTTGTGCTCTTTGGCCTCCTCTTCTCAGGCTGCTTT